TTATGATAGATATCAGCTAGAATAAATAGAAAGATTATTTCAGCTAACTCTTTACCTAAATTTTGCTAGAATTTGAAGGCGCAATATTCAATAAACATTTGCTAAATTTTTGTTAGACTTGCTTTTTATTTTTTTTGTTAAAGATTTATGATTTATATGCTATTTAATAAGCTATCCTGCGTAAAACCTGTTTTTGATTAAGAAAAAGCTAGAATAATTCTGCAAATTTTTCTGAATTTTTACAAAAGTTATTTTCGTTAGACTTTTATATAAAATATGTTAATTAAGAAGCTAGCCTGTGCAAACCAGTTCTTATTCACAATTTTTGTTAGACTTATTATAGAGAGAATTGGGTCATTTTTTGTTAGGCTTATTCTAGAAAAATTGGGACAACTTTTCATTAGATATATTTAATTGTTATGCTATTTATTGAGCAAATGCGCATAAAGACAGATCTTGATATATATTTTTGTTAGACTTATGAAATCATGTGACTTATATTTCATTAGACTTAAGAAAATTGTTAGACTTATTTATAGAATAATAAGGACAGTTAGACTTATTTTCATTAGACTTAAGAAATTGTTAGATTTATTTATGAGATAATAAGGACTGTTAAACTTATTTTCATTAGACTTAAGTAGTTAATATGCTAATTAATAAGCTAACTTATACAGAATCAATTTCTAATATAATAATTTTCGTTAAATTTAATAAATATAACTAAAAAGTTAATATAAAATTAAAATTTTAGAGCTGTTAAAAGCTTTTCTAATATATTAATAAAAATTAATATACTTTCTAAGGTTGGAAAACTCACACAGAATTAAAAATATAATATCAAAATTAAGATTTTAGAGCTGATAGAAGCTCTTCTAATATAATAAGAAAAATTGATATTATTTTAACGTTCTGTAATTCATACACCTAATGTTTCAGTGATATTAGACCTTCACCCTACTTTTACATTATATTAAGATAGAGACTTCACTATTATTGATCATATTGGTTATATCTGTAACTTGAAAAATTATGACATCACTAAAATATTCAAAAATTTTTAAGACAAACTAATATTAATTCAAATAATACAAACTTTCCTACTGCTAGATAATTACTTTATCCTAGTAATTATGATCAAGATTATAAAATAAATGAAACTAAAACTTTTCTTTTTCAAGTTTTATACGAACAGGTAACATCTATTTTCATCAAAAACAATTACATCTTAATACAATAATTAAAAAAATAGGTTTACCTTCATTATTTATAACTTTAAATATGGTTAAAAGTCATTAGATTTATCTTTATAATATACTCGCTAATAGTGATAATTATAACACTCTACCTATAAATAGATCTTATCATTATATGAATTACTTTGTTCACAAATTCTAATTATTAAAAAAAAGAATTATATAAAAAATCAGAACTTACTAATTTTAGCACAATTACTGAATTTTTTGATAGAGTTGAATTTCAAAATAGGGGTTTAATCTATACACATAGCTGTTACTAGATCATGAATTCTATAGAAATAATGATTACAAGTAATGTAATCTGTTCAACATTATCTGATTCTTTATATGAATCTGAATTATATGTAGCTATAATAGCTAATCAGATTCATATATATAATGAAAAATATCAAGGTCCAACATCACCAGGTTAAATTTGCAAAAAAGATTTTTCTCATCCTTATAGTGAAACAACCTATTATGAATAAGAAAATTATTATTATATATATAAATGTTTAACTAAAGTAAATTCTTGAATAGTTTCATATCATCTTGCTATTCTTTTATTATGGAATGTTCATATGAATGCTCAATATGTAACAGATAAAGAATTTATAAAATATATGATAAAATATATTGTAAAAAAAGAATTATCTTATATATTTAATATTCAAGATATTGAGATATTAAGAGAATATATTATTGCAAGAAGAATTAGTTTAATAAAACTAATATTTTTACTTTTAAGACATAAAATTTGCAATTCTTCTAGTATTGTAAAATTTCTTACAACTGAACCTCCTAATACTATAATTTATATAGTCCTTCTAGCTTATATTATAAATAAAGATGATGAAAATTCATATTATAATGATACTATTACAAAATATATGTCTTGTTCTCATTTTTCTAAATTTGAAAATCTTACTTATCCATAATATTTTGAAAAATATATAATTATTCCTTCAAGATCTTTAACTTTTTGTCAAATATTTCATGATGATCTTAAAAATTATGTTGTAAAATGGTCAAAAGAAATAATATTTAGATATCGATTTCTTAAACTTAAAAATACTGAATTATATTTTTATCAAAAATTACTCTTAATCATTCCTGCACAAAATGAATCTAATTATAAAATTAGACTAAATAGAACATATCGTAAAAAATTCTTATTATTATTTCCTGATTTTTAATTAATCTACAAAATCAAACTGCAAATATGTATCAATCATATACAACACATTTAAATAATCAATTTATAGAAATATTAGATAGATTATTATATACATTATATGAAGAAATTCCTATTAATATTCATAATATAATATGATTACAATTAGAAAATATCAAAATACTCCCTCATATATTTTCAGAAACAACAATTTTTGAACTTCTCAAGACCAATATTATGTTTTATCAACTATTTCCTCATATTTAAGTAAAAATAATAGCATAAAATGACTATATTACTTTATTACTAGATTTGAAGAAACTGAAAAATCTTATATTATCAATTTAATATTAAATATGCTTAATAGAAGAAATTCAAATTACTTATTATTAGCTTCAACTGGTATTACTGCACAAAATATAGAAAAAAGAACCACTCACTCTGCATTATATATTATAACTACTCAAGAAGTTTTCATATATGAGTCTATGCAAATAAAGGATTAAATGATAACTTAAAAAATTGATACTATAATCATAGATGAAATATCTATGGTATCTAAAGAATTTTTTGATTTTATATAAATAATACTATAGCATTTGGTGACATAAATATTATAGTTGTTGGTGATTTTACACAATTATTTTATCCTTTATTTTTAAAAACCCTACAACGTTAACAAATTGATAATAAATTTTATCAAATGGGTTGATTGCTAGGAAAATCAGGTTCTAGGAATTTTTTAGCAAAATTGAGATTTTTATTGCATTTTAGTTTTTGATGTTATTAGATTAAAATGTATTAAGCTCTTAATTTAAGTCAAAAATTTCTCAGAACCTGATTTTCCTAGAAACACTCCCAAATGTTATAAAAATCTGAATAGGCAATATCACTTCTAAAACTTAGCAAATTTTTTAACAATGACATTCTGAATTTTTAACATGTTCTGCAATTGATACTCTTCTTAATATTACTAATATTGTAGACTTTAAAAAAACTGCTCAACAAATTAACAGAATAGTTTGTAATATGCTTCTTGTATCTGATAATAAATTTCTAATTTTCCAATCTATTGATTTTATAGATTTTATACAATAGGACTCATCATCTTCTAAAAATATTTTTAAAACTAGAACTAATCTATCTTCTTTAATTAGATTACAACTGGAAGCATATATTATATATCTTAATAATTTATTAATTGAACAAGAAATATGTAATGGTATAATAGGAATTATCACTAATCTTAATCTTATAGATCAATCTGTTCATATTGCATTTCAGTTAAAAGTTCAATTATTGATACAACAATTTACAAACAAACTCATTATTTTGAATTATATGAAAGTAACTGTTACTGTACACAATTTCAACTTCAAAATTCATTCGTTCTTACTGTTCATAAAATTCAAGGTTTAACCTTATCAAAAGTAACTCTTGCATTAGATGAAAATATATTTTTCCTTAGATAAGCTTATATTACTCTTAGTAGATGTCCTACCTAGAATAATATTAAAATATCTCATCTTGATCATTCAGCATTTATGATAGATCAAAATATGCTTTTAGAATATGAAAGATTATATAGAATATCAGGATCTAACCCTCATAATTTTTAACAAAAAAATTTAAAAAAAAAAAATCATTATATAACTTTTATCTTTATTCAAATTGTAATATTATAAAGGAAAAATGTAATTGGCGATCTGTATCGCTATGGTGACCTCTGTCTGATTAGTCAATCAAATTTGAGTATCTAAATAAATAATATCTAACCAATTAAACTTAAGTATTTAAATATATTAATCATAATAAAAAACATTTCGTATTGAGCCTATGAAACTAATGCGCAAAAAAGTTTCATGTTATGAAAATTTTTCATATCACGTATTACAAATCATGAACGATCATATTACGCGTTATGAAAATTTTGTATTACGCATTATGATCATATTATGAGTCACAAGAATTTTTCATGTCATGCGTTACGATTCACAAATTTTATGTTATGCGAGTCAAATTTTCATATGAATATATTGATTTTGTGTAATACCAAAGTTCATATGATACTGAAATATCTGATTATACAGTCAACTCTTGATATAGCAAACTCTTGATATAACAAATTTTTTGAACAAATATAATAAAAATACTCTTGTTATAGCGAATTAGCCAATCAAATCTCTTAAAATCTTCACTATAGCCTTATAGTGAAGTTGAGGTCTAGGACATAGAGTTCGTTATAACAAGAGTTAACTGTACTTCTTTTTTTTGGCTTTTAGCTCTTTGGGTCTAAGTTTATAGGTTAATTTTGAAAAGGAGTTTACCTTCCTAACAATTGACCAAGTTATTAGTTCTTTGACGATTTGTTTTCTCTATTACATTGATACCTTTTTTATAGTATTAGTTTTTTTTTTAATTTTTTTAATGTAAAAACTGTACTGTAGCAATAACTTTTTTAAAAATACTTAAATTCAAAGCCATTTTCCATAATCTGATGTGAAATCCTGTTATCCTATAATAAGAACACAATTCAGTTTTTTTTCTTTTTACCTCTTATCGGCTTTTCTGTAGAATACATTTTAAATATGAAAGAAGAATTGAATATTCAGGATAAAGACTCAGAAGTACTACTGAATATTCAAGACAAAGAGTTTGAAGAACTATTAACGTATGATAATGCAGAAGATTTCTCCAATGCAAATAGGTAAGCAATTTAGTGTTTAGAGTATTATTATTATAAATTAGGAAGTATACCTAACATATCATCTTATCTTATAGTACATCTGATAAAGTTGCGAATACAGAAGCGGATACAGAAGAGGATGCGAAACTTTTTGTTGGCAAAGTTTTCTTTTTTTTTTTTTTTTTTAACGATGTGGCACTGCCAGTAACTTTATTAAATTTATATATAAGGAAATACAAAGTAAATCGAAAATAAATCTATGCTAAGTACTAGCTATCCCCCGTAGTTATATTACAAACCCGTTTGAATCGACCTATCATCGTCTTCCCCCTCCATTAATTCCACTAAGTACATACTTAATGAAAATTAATATCAACAAGGAAAGATAAAGAAGACGTCAGTGCCTATCTAAAAATCTGAGAACGCGTAGCCAAATTTATTCGCAAAGTGTACCCAAGTTTTCCAGTTAAGAGAGAAGCTTGATGTCTGTCTGCAAGGCAAGGGTGAACTAGCACAATGTTTACGCTTATCTTGTTTAGTAATACCCAATGAACGCTCTTTAGCGATCATTAAGTTGCAACGGTGTTTTCAGACATCATCATATAATTTTTGGTGAAAAAGAAGCAGCGAGCGTGAAATGATAGAGAGGCATCGCTCTTTGTTGCCAGTTATTTTATGAACGATATCTGTCAACAAAAATGGGATTCTGGATTGGATGATGTTTGCGTAGCCATTAGAAGCATTTGAAGGTAGTGCAAAAGTTGTGTTGAGTACGTCCTCTAATTCAGTTCAGTATGTTGTGTATCTGTTTTTGTATGAAAAACTTAGTTGGTCAACAAAATCTTGTTTGGTAGCCGAGATTGTACTCATTATTTCTAAGGAGTACATTAGACAAGTCCAAATATGTAAAGCAGTTTCAATGGCATTATTGCAACCCACACATAGCCAATATTCGTATAGGTCAGATCTTAATAATGTGAGGTGTGACAAAGTAGGAAGTTCGTCAATGAAGGTTTTAATAATGAATGATTTGAGCTTACATGAAGCAAAGGACGTGACAAGGGAAGAGATGTTCATCGAAAAAAGTTTCCAGATGGCAAACCAATTAATAGATTTGTTAATGGTGAGTACTCTCAGTTCGTCATTCCTGTTCAGATCTAGAAAGTTGCCAAAAGCTTGTGCAGCAAATAATTGCTGTTGGCAAAGTTTTCTAAAATTGGAATCATGCTTCAAAATTTATGAAAAAGTACGCTACTATTAAGGATTATAGAGTACAAATTGGTGGCAGTGGGAGGATAGATAAAGTAACAAAAGAAGTATTATTTGTGCTAACATTCCAGAAAAGCAAATTTTAATCAGATGACACTTACAGAAAATCAGCGTTTAAATGCATCATCGTGTAGAGTTAAGTGTCTATGGAAAGTAAATATTTGGAATAAAAAAAGCAAAGGCTACTTGGAAGTTATGACTTTGCATGATCAGCATATTAGTCATAAATTTTATTCATCAGCAGTTCGATTTGTTCCATTATTACGCAAATTACTAAAAGAAGTCATTCAAGAGATTCATTTTTTAACTGTTATTGCCAAAGCAAATGTAACAATTCAGTATCGAATTATTAGGAAAAAGTTTAATATTAAAATAATTTGACAAGATTTATATAATGCCATTAGCAAGTTTCATTGTAAAATGATACCAGGTGAAGCAGACACTGGGATTTTACTAAGAAGATTATATAACAAAATGACGGAAGACCCACATTAGATAATTTCAATAAAGCTTGATCCGGTCACTTCCTCGTTAACTCATCTTTTTTGGATGAGCCCTGAACAACACATTTTATGGTTATGCTACCATGATGTAATAATGCATAATAATACCTGCAAAACCAATCATTATAATCATCTACTGTCTCTCTTTATCACCCCTAATAATAATTTGAAAACAAGAATTGTGACCCAAGCGATTGTTGATGATAAAAGTCAACTTTCATATGAGTGGGTTTTTCGATGTGTAAAAGACGCAACTAGCATATCTCTAAAAGTATTTATTATGGATGGTGATCTAACAATTGAAGGTATGGTTTTAACGGAATTTTCTAGTACTTATCATATATATTATATATGGCACATAAGTCAGAATTTACCTAAAAGATTAAAAGGAGAGCTTGATTCAAGTTTTAGTAACTTTATGAAAGACTTTTTTAAGTCAAAAAATAGTTTAACAAAAACTCAATTTAATGAGAGATGGGAGATGTTATTGCAAAATTACTCAAAGGCAAAAGATTATTTAATGCGATCTTTAGGAAACAATCCTCAATCATGGGCATATGCATTTACGAATCAACATTTTACTGCTAGGGTACAGTCCACTTCTCATAATGAAGACAAAAATTCAACGTTAAAGTGGCTTTTCAGAAGTGCAAACCTTTCATTATGTGAATTATTTGACGTAATGGAGAAAAGATATCAAGAAGAAAGTGACTATTGCGAGTTTATAAATTGGAAACAAACGATGACATAAGTAGGACCTCAAAACACAGTGAAAACTATTTTTAGACCAGTAGTACTACAATTAAAGGAATTTGTAATGCCGAATATTATGAAAAATCAAGAAGAACAAATGAATCTAAGCCTTTATTATCATGCTATGGAGGTTGAGCCTGAAGTTGTATTCTCTAAAGAGAAGGTAATATATTATCTTTTGAATATGACAAATTGTTTATTATCATATTTTTGACCTAATTGGCCTCAGAGGTAAGGTTTCATTTACGAAATTAAAATAAGTTTCTAAACTAAAATTTAGGTATTTGATGAATCTGACCAGTGTATCAAAAATCTATTTGATTGTCTACAAATACAATTGGGTTCATTTTTGGAGGATACTTTAATTATTCTCAAAATTTGGGAGATTTTTTATATAACGAATTCAAAGACATCACATTTCATATATCTTTTAAATGATGAGACTTTTCTCTATATATGTATAATTAATAAAACCCATGGCTATCCATGTCATCATTTTTATCATATAATAATCCTTACTCCTATCACAAGATTTTATATTGGACTTATTAATCGATATTAGTATAAAGATACATTACAAGAATTTGATATATCAAATAATGCATTCGTTTCAGTCTCTCCCTTTAATGTATTAATATTAAAAGTAAATTCTTTGCCAATGTGATTTTTATATTTATCAAATGGGTTTGATATTGGACTTACTATCATCGTAGATAATAATAAGATATCTAAAACTATCTCAAAGAAACGTAAATTCGGTGAACTTTGGGGATTGAGAAAGAAGGTGATGGTTGATGTAATTGAAGATAATAATGAGGATAATTATCATGAATTTCTTGAAGTCTTTTTATCGTTACAAAAAAAAATCACAACAAAGAATTATTGGTAATAGCAATAATGGCAATAGCAATAATAGTGGTATTGATCATGATGGTAATATTGATATTATGAGTGTTTAAAATCCAATTGAACGAAGGCCAAAGGGTTGTCCCAAATCCAAGAGGGTTAAAAGTTCCTTAAAGCAACCTAGTGTTAAAACTCAATATAAATGCAAATTATATAAACAAAGGAGACATAACAGCAAGACTTGTAAAGAACAAGAACAATTAAATACTAACGTTAATAAAGAGAACATTGATGATGAAAGGTAAGTTTTATTGTTTAAATTAGTTAGATCGGGTTGTGATTAAAAATCCTTTAACTATATTATTGTATTTATTCATATAGCCAAGAGGAATGATATTAAAAGCAAAAATTCAAAGGCTTTATATATCTGAAATTTTTTTTTTTTTTTGTAATCAAATAATAAAATTAGTAATAATGGCTTTAATATTATTCATTGAATTTTAAATAATCTCTGATTAGGATTATCCTTGTGATACTATCGAAAAAATGTAAAACTGAATAAATATTATAAGTATTATGCGTTTGAATTAAAAGAATATAGATATTATTTTATCACTTATATAAAATTTATTGTCCAATCAGAAAATAATATAAATCACGTGATAGGGTCATTATGGTGATGGGTCGCCAAATATCGGAGTTCAATAAAATAAATATTACTAAAACTAAATAAAGTTAAAAAAAAATAATGGATTCATAAAGAATAAGTAATTAAAGAAAAAAGAATTCTAAAAGAATTGTAAAAACAAGATTGCATAACTCTAAGAATTGAAAAATTGCAAAATACTTGTAAAACTCTAAAGGAATCGCAAATTATTTGTGAAACTCTAAGAGGAATCGCAAAGTAATTGCGAAACTCTAAGAGAATCACAAATTACTTGTGAAACTCTAAGAGAATCGCAAATTACTTGCAAAACTCTGAGGGAATCGCAAAGTAATTGCGAAACTCTTAAGAGAATCACAAATTACTTGCGAAACTCTAAGGGGAATCGCAAAGTAATTGCAAAACTCTAAGAGGATCGCAAATTACTTGCAAAACTCTAAGGGAATCGCAAAGTAATTGTGAAACTCTAAAAGAATCACAAATTACTTGCGAAACTCTAAGGGAATCGCGAAATAATTGCAAAACTCTTTAGAGAATCACACATTAGGTTCCCTTCAAAATTCGAATATATCGAATTGAACTTTTAGATTAATCTTAAATTTTCAGTTCAGTTCAGATTTTTACCAGTTTACAGTTCAGTTTGGTTTCAGATTAGCCTATAATCTGAACTGAATCAAACTGTTCAGAGCATTTTCCATGGACTATCAGATGCTTGAATAATTCCTTTATATAGCATCTTCTTAATTTCTCCATTGATAAATTCTTATTCTTTCTTTATCGTTTAATAGTAATTTCTCCTAATTGGGTCAGTATTTCTTGTATCAATTTTGTGTAGAGTTACATTGGTTCTTTTAACTCTGGTTGATTGTCCAGTTTCAGAGATATTGGTAATGAATCTGTCTTTATTTTCTTCTATCAAAACATCAATTTTCTTTTGTTGCTTTAGAGTTACAATGTCTTTTTTTACAGTTTTCACTTACATAGTTTCTGCAAAACTATTAGGCAAGTTATTCCATACAATTCGATCTAATATTTTATTGATAAATTTTATGTGGGTTGAGGTAATTTTTCCTTGTTTAGCTATCTCTTCATATTTCAGAAAACTGAGACGAATCCACAGTCCATTTTTATCTTCCTTAGTTTGTTCTAATCTAGTTTCTTTAGGAATCTTTGTAGCATAAACATTGCAATTAAATTCTGAATCATTGAATAGATATTCTAAGTCCTCTTTTTTGACTTTTACTCCAGTTGCTTCTTCAGTTTTTCGTACTGCTACTTTCATTGGGTTCTTATTCCCTTCTATCTTTCCTCCATGAAATTGTCACATTCCATACATAACTTCTCTTTTTCTGATTGAGAGAAATATACCATCTTTATCGTACAAAATATTAAGTATATATTTGGGATAATTAACTTCTTCTTCATATACTTCTACTTCATTAGCCCAAGATTGAATTGAATCTTTCTCCTAGGCTTAGTTTCAAAGGTCAGTATCTTCTTCTTGTTCTTCAATCTCAATGATGTAGCTATCTATTTCTTTTTCATCATCATATTCTAATTCCTGCTCAATCATTTCATCAAGTTCATCCTCAATAGTTACAGCTCGAATTCTTTTTTCAACTATACATTGTACTGGAATTATAGCTTTATCCAATCCAGAAGTAAGAATAATTTCATTATTCTCAAAGTCAACATTTACTTTATTTTTCTTACACTAATAATAAGGTTTGATCAGTTGAATCAATAACTTGAAATATCATTTTAATAAGAATTCCTTGAATGATTAATAGCACATTTTTAATAGTTCCTAGTACTCTTTCTCTCTGTTCATTTGCAGTAATAATGATTATTTGTAAAAGGTTTATCGATGTCTAGTCCAAGTTTTTTCATCAACTTGTGCGTCATGATGCTTACTGCAGCTCCTATATTAATAATAACAGTTACAGAGTTTTTCTTAATTTTAACATGACATTTCAATACTATAGTTCGCTCTTCTTCTTTTAGAGTACTAGTAAATGCTAAATTTCCTTTTAATTTAGATGATCTTATTTCCTGAAGTAGTTTTTGTTGCTGCAATCTAAATTATATTATTTGTCTTATATAAACATTAGCTTTAATATTTACAAGTCGTCTCAAATGTTATAAGATTCAATATTATCCAAAAGTGATAGTCCTCTAGGTATTCTCTTCCTAAGCTTAGTAGTATTATCTACCACTGTTTAAGGTATCTGTTCAGTTATCTCCATTGGTTTATTAATTGTTTGAAATCAGTTTGTCTGGTATTAGTTTCTCTTTATGATTCAGATCTTTTCCTCTTAATCACTGGAAAGACTTCTTGTTCAAGCATATTTACTTCCTTTCTGTCTCGTTCATCATTTTTAGTTCTTCAGTTATCTTATGGTAAAACTTTTTCAGAAAGATATCATCTGGCTATATGACCTTTTTCTTCACATCTAAAACAGATTAACTCTTTCCTTGGTTTGCCTTCAGGATTATAACTCTTTCTTTCAGCTGGATTAGTGGTTAATGCGGCTATAATGTTTACTTGATTTAAAGCCATTTGTTTAAATTGTTTAGACAATTTTTCAATATTGTCTTCAACTTTTGGCTTGCTAAAATCGTGTTCTATTGCATAATATCTTTCAGCTTCAACAGTTTTAACTTGAATAATAGCAACATCTAAATCAGCTAGATTTTGAATTGCAACTAGAGTTGCTAGTTCCTTATTTAATCCACTTAAGAACATTCATACTTTAAAAGCATCTAAAATTCCTTCTGTATCTACTCTATTTGCTAACTTCTTGAATTTAGATGTATAGGTTTCAACTTTTTCATTTCCTTATTTCAGATTTATTAATTCATATTGCCATCTATGTAATTTTTTTTGCGATGAGAAGCGTGCTAAGAATCTTTCTTTAAATCTTGTATTTGCATCTCCATCCCATCTGTTAATCATATTGCTTACTAGATTGTACCAGTCAGCTGCTTCTTCCCTTAACATTCCTACTGCAATTGCTACTCTTTTATTGTTTAGCTATCTGTTAGCTTCTTTCACTCTTAAGAACATTTCAATCCATTTTTGAGCGTCTTCGCTATTTTTTTCATAAAAGGGTCAACTTTTATAATAAAACTTCCTACTGCAGATAATGCTAGGATATTAATACAATTAAATTTATTGATCATACTAATTGTAATTTACATTATCAACATATTGAGTTTGTCTACTTCATAGCCATGTTTGCAAGATTTGGTGGATGGGTTTCTCTGTAAGTAAAGTGGTTAGTGTTATGTGAGGTAATAAGAATATGTTGATATATTACTTCTGGTTTAAAATAACACGTGAATCTAAGGCTGAATACTAAGGATATTGCTGCTTTTGCTGCTTGTTCAATATCAAGACTATGAGGATTATTAACATTAAAATACTATCCTATTTCTTCAAAATATTATTCACTTAGAGATGAATATGTATATGCATGATACTGTTGGTGAATTTATTGATAGAATCTTTGAAATTGAATACTTGGGTTTCCAGATGGTCAATGACAAATTTTACAAGACTTATCAAAGGATTTTATAAGATATGTTTATCCTAAATATTTGAAGTGGTCATCTGAGTGTTGTTTTCTTATTTTACTATATAGGTCACAATTCATGTACTAGTAAAAATCTCTAAATTGATTCAATAAGTCTCTTCTGATTTCTAATAGGTTATTCCTATCTTTATGTAGATCGAATAAGTGATTATTGAGAGTTTTTAATCCTTTCTTAATTTTCTGTTTAACCAAATAGATTACGTTGAAACTGACAGAAACTGACAGACCTATTAAATATGATATATATGCCAAATATACCATATCTGCCAAATCTGCTATATCTGCCAAATAGGACATATATATTATTTATTATATTTCTATTATTTAGAGGTTGGAACTGGTTTTAATTTTAGAAACCGGTTTTATTCATGTTATGAAAATTGGAACTGGTTATATATCAGTTTGAATCGATAAATCGATAAACCGGTTAAAACCGATAAATGATAAAACGAGAAACCGATAAACCGATTTTCGATA